AGTCACGGTTGTATTAACGTTTATATCATCAGACTTTTTGCACGAGGCGTTCTTCAATCTGCTTCGTGTCTGCCACGATGTCTTGGATTACATTTTTTTGAGGGGGGATTGTGGTGCTGTTGATAAAGTTAAAGGATGTGGTCTCCGATGTTTTCGACAGATAGTTAGAAATGTGTACTCTGACAAAATACCATGAGGTGATCAGTAAGCAGTGTAAGGTAACTTGTTTGCTCCACAGAAACACAACTCAGCTGAAAAATGTTGGTGTTGCTGGAAATTTTGCTCAGTTTTATGGATTTTTGTCAGACTCTGAACCAGGAAATGGCTGCAGACAGTGAAACAGAAAGCAAAAAAATTCTGTAGCAACCAGTGACTCCGCCCCTTAGCCAATCAGCAGCCAGAATCACGATGTCGGCAGACTCAGCCTTGCCAGGTACCTCAACGGAGAAGGGACAAAAAAAGGGGGGAGAAAGTAGAGGGAGTATACTGAACCGGGCCCTTGGAAACATTGGCCGGGCTGAGCTGCATCGGCCCGAGTTGCTCTGAGTAGCGTTCCTGGAAAGCCACCATTAGAAAAGCAACCCACTCTGAGCTGAGCTGCGTCACGTTTAACCAAACTGAGCCGTGTTCAGCAAAGAAAGGCGTAACAGATAAGTGTCACACATCTGCGAGCTCGAAACGTCGTTCTCTCTCGTCTCGTCTCAACTTATTTGCGTGCCGACTTTAATTAAAGGTCACCCCATTGATAATATTCTCTTGAAATTTAAAATAGCCAAGCACGCCACGAGATGAGTGACACAGGATTTATTACCATCTCACTGTGTGCCGCGTTCTACATTAGTGGCTGTGACAATAGCTCGACCATTCTAACAGTAAAATAGTAATGTCTTCTCCTTTCATATGCCGATAACGACTGGTGTCCTCTCATCTACAACGGCCCTGTGAAAAGTAATTAGCTGATATGGATGTTCCTGTCAGTGATAACTGATATTAGGGGACTATTACATTCACTCCCCTGAACGATGGCCCTTGAAATGAGTTCATTACAGTAAGCTGTACATCCAGATCTCCACATACAATAGTCCGAGATATGAGAGTGGAACGTTTGGACGAAAACTGAGACAATCTTAAAGATTTAATGCATCGACATCCTTTCTCTAGTTTTATTAGAACCGATAACGCAGCTCTTATGTAAGATTTATTCACTTAATAATGCTTTTAATGCTAAAATCAAATGTTAAGTCAAACTGAGCATCTGAGGGCTTTCTGCAGGGTTTTCTTGCTTCTAATGGTTGATCATTCTTATGCGGGTTTTGTTTGGCTGTCATGCCAAGTTCCTCTCCTGAGAGGGAAATAAATAGTCTCCCAGGTGGTGACGTGCAACTAAGTAAATGGTTACTAAGCCGAGATGTGCTGAGCTTATGCAAATAGAGAGAAAATAATGTCAATTTTAGGGATTTTTTAAATTTTGTGCGATAACCCAAAAAGTTTTGCTCTAAGTTCAGCAACATGCAAATTTTCAGGAAAACAATTCCGAGGTGCATTTTTTCCTCTCTCTCTTTTTGTCAGATGATTAATAGATAAACAAGAATAAATCAATGTGAAGTGATAAATGAATAAGTAAAATGCCCCGTAGTCATTTGTCCAGTTGTATTCAAGCTTTAGATCCCAAACCTTCTCTGCAAATGAAGATGATGGTCGTGGCAGCACAGCGCTTCATCAGACGAGGCGTCTGCACGTTTGTTTACCTGCATCAGTGTGTTTGTTTATCTACTTCTGTTTTTTATTTATTTTTTCACCAATACGATCCCAACGATTGTGCACTGCGTGGATACCAGCGAAAAACAACGAGAGAGGAAACAAAGCCAACTCCTAAATCTATCTGCCATTTGCGCTCACATACTGTACACACGTCATGAGTATTCTGGCACAGTTACTGGGCCAAAGAAGTGCTGGTCTGGGGCCTGGCCCATTCCCCAGAGACCACCTCCCCCCTGCCTCCTCCCTCTCCACCCCCTTCCCCCTTCCTGTGCAAGTCTGTGGACACAGTCTGAGGCGACAAGGTTGCACAACGGCTCCCAAAACCTTCACTTTACAAACACGATCACAAGAAAAATACACACAGTCTGTCATTAGGAATCTGTCTAAGAGGGAAAATAATTAGAGCAACTGTGATAATTGTGTCAAGGGGGAAATAGATCAGACGAGTTATGGGAAGCACCAAAAAATCTTTGCCATAGCTTTGTTACTTTGCTGTTGGTTCATTTTGACATTGATCCACCCTTCCATCTGTCATCCCTTTCCTGTGCTCCTTCTTCAGCTCTTCATTTTCCTTCTCCCGTGCTGTCTCCCTTTCTTGGATTCAAGAGTGGAGGAGCCTTCTGGCTTTAAAACGCAGAAGGGATGAAGATGTTTATTCATCTGGAGGGTATTAGAGCCATGATTAAGGGCGGGAGGGAGCTGTAAGGCTGATGCGACGTCTGCGTTGCTCGTTCGTGGGCTGCCTTCGGGATTCTGGCCAACACACCAGGAAAACAAGGAACGAAGAAGAATGAAAAAAAAATTGTAGTGAAATTAGATTCTCTCACAAGAGCTGAAGTTTAAATGTTGACTGTTTTGCTCATTTTCTCTCATTCCCACTCTCTGTCTCATAGCTAAGGTAATTATTAATAAATGCGGTTTCTGTTGAACCTTGGAGAGGTGTCAGCTCCACAGTCACTGAGGGTTAAAAATTCTTGACATTTAAGACAGGGATGCATGAAAATACATGGTCTTGCTTGAATTGGTGCTTGTTTTCCTTCCCCTCCTGCTCCCCTTCTCCGCTATGCATGTTTTCATCTCCCTTCTGGGCTGTTTCCAGTTGTTTTACCGCTGACAAGCTGGAATGGTATTGAGGAGATATCAAATAAAGCCACAGTGTATTCATCAGAGGAGGAAAAGGTCACAGGTCAAGAAGCGGGGTCCTGGCTTTCTGACGTGAGCTAATGCAAAAGGATTTCATCATCCCTTTTAGTGGCAAATATTAGGTAATATTAGTCTAGTCTAAATATTATGGGTCACTCTGGGGTAGTTCCAGTTAAAAGAAATTCACCCCGTTTTTTGAATGAGCTCAGCCTTTTCTTAGGTGTTTTTTTTTAAGTTATGGATGGAGCCTCTTGAAAGCTGCAGAGCAGACCCTATTTTAATGAAGCAACTACTTTGCACAGGAATTCAGCACATTTCTGCATGCATGTTTTTTCTTTCCACTAAGCTGATCACATAAATCACATTTCCTTTGGTAACTGAGTGTGTGGGGAGACATAAAAAGAGCATCTAAGTAAACTCTCATGTGAGAAAAGATGGCAGCAGCAGAGTGCAGTCCTGCAGCATCCCTCACAGTAGCTGACTGGCTAGCTGAGTGTCCACGGGGTCCTGCGTTTGGTCTGCCGCAGTGTTCAGGGAACAACACACACACACACACACACACACACACACACACACACACACACACATGCTAAGGCACCCCTGCTTATTGAAGCCCAGCCCAGACTGGTCCCGCTTGGACCAGCACTCCCTTAGAGGCAGCTAGTGCAGTGAGGCAGGTGGCGAGGAGTCATGCTGGGGGACAGATTGCCATCCTCCTCTTTCCTCCAGGGAGGCTCGCCGTAGATGTTTGCCGGGCCAAGAACAGAGGAACAGCCTCCTTCCTGTTTGTGCAGAAGTCCACCTGAAGTGGTCAACTATGTCTTTCCTCTCCACAGCACCAGTAGTAGAGAACATATGAGACCTTCTTCTGTAACCTCATCCTGCAAAATCTGCTTTACTCCATTCTGACTTGAAATTGCAAATGTTAGGACAATTACAGCCTAGCTACTTCATTAAAAGCAAAAGCAAGCTCATTTTTACATTTCATGAATGCATAAAAGTTAAGTTTTGTTTTGGACTAACACTGCGAAATAAGAATTTAGAAGGCTGTGTTATGTGCCAAACCTGCTATTTACCTTCTCCAATTAGTGTTGTTGTTTTGAAGCCCACTCACACTCTGAATAATAACCCCTCATGAGCAACAAACACACCTTTTTAGGTGAAAAACAGAATTACAAAATGACTCCTTTTCTTGCCCCCTCAGTAATTTCTTTATTCTCTGGATAAATTTTCAAAACATGCAGTAAATCTTGACTTCACAAGGTTGCCCTGTATTGGTGTTTGTTTGTATTTTTAAAGGAAAACAAACCAAATGCGTGGCCAATCAAACATGTTTTTAAAGATAGTGTAGTAATTGTTAGAAATCCATCCTAATAAGCATTGCATGGATGCATGTTTGCAATATAATGGGATTTGTGTCACAGTTTCAGAGGAAAAAGAAATGGCCGGGTGCTGTAAAGGATGACTAGCCGCCCTACTTTTCCTCCTCTGGCCTTCCATTTGTCTAGCTTTCCCTGGTCGCCGCTGGGGCACTGTGATTTCTGGGACAGTGACCAAGTGCTCCTGTCTGAGCTGGGGGACGTGGGTAATGTGGACAAAGTAGTTGACAGTTTGCCGCTTCCCCATGGTTGAGAGACGGAGCCATGAGGGCTGGAATAATGGACACCCACACCACAGAGTCGGGACGGCGCTTGATGTTTCAGCTCTTTCTTTGTGTCAGCCCCCTGCGTGAAAATATCCCCTCTGACTGCACTTTGGGGTGTGTATGTGTGCATGTGTGTGTATATTTGAGTAATTCTCATTGAAGTGTGTGTGTTTGTTTGTGTTGTGTTATGGATGTACATGATGTTAGGTCAGAGTAACCTGATGATGAAACTGCAGGAAGTGGGCCCTTATTTCAGCAGTGAAACACCCTCAACGTTCCTACTGTTGTCTCACTCTCTCTCTTTAACTCACACACGCACACACACACACACACACACACACACACACACACACACACACACACACACACACACACACACGCACGCACGCACGCACGCACGCACACACACACACACACACACACACACACACACACACACACATCCTCTCATCTCAGAGCATGGTGGATTTGATTGATCTGTAGCAAAGGGGGAGAGGGACCTGACATTTCTCAGTGATGTGTAAAAACATATTGTGTTTGCTAAAAAAAAGAGAGATAGATGAGTACACAACCCCTCACCCCGCTGCCATACACACGCACACATGCATGCAATGCACGCGTGCACACACACACATGTGCATGCACAGGAAATTATCACAAATTTGTGTGACTTTCAGCTCTTTCAACCAGTTCGTTCTCCGTGTTTACTCAGGTAATCCGCTGCTTGGTGCAAAAAGCCACATCTAGCCACCTGTCACTTTTGTTTACTGCTACTGGGAATAATCAGTGTTTCATTTTGACTGGATTTAGTGTCTTAGACTGGGATGCAGCAGGACCAGTGTGAGTAAAGCTCAAAACTGGGCCTCTTCCAGTATCTCCATGTCTTCAGTCCTAAATCAACAAAGTGATTTGTCCATCTGACTGGAATTAGTCCCAAAAAGGAGAAAAATACTCTTCCCCATCATCTCCCTGTAGCAGACAAACACGCTGAAGCATCTTAGCTAATATGAACGTTTCTTACACCACCTCGGCTATTAGATTCTAAACGATCGTGTCAGATTCAGCGCCGTACGCGGCGGCGTGCAGCTCAGACACGCGCTCCTATTTGGGCGTCAGAACAGGAAAAGTGTGGAGATGACACATGCGCGGCCTCTTGGGAGAGACTCACTACTTTTCCCACCAACTGTAAAAGATCCCCCTCCCCTCTCTGAATAAGAAGTGGGGTCACAGTGTTGCATCAGACAAGTTGTCAGCTTTTTGTTTATTCAATGAATCCCCAATCCCCAATGTGCCACAAATGTTCTCACACAAACACATCTCTTATGACAAGCTCCTCGTACAGAACTCTGCTACAACAAGATGAGGTTGGGCGGATGAAAGCATGACCAAGCTTTAGCTTCAGTAGAGCAGCTCGTGAATATCCAGCGCCGGAGCAAAGATGGACCTGGGTAATAGTTTGCCTTTATGAGAAAGAGAGATGCACTCGGAGGCTGTCAGATGGTGTTAAGCCATCATGATCTGCTTCCAGCTGCTCAGAGAAGAAGCTCCATCTTGAAGCCATGAGTTATTTCAGAATCATAAAAGTGTGAGAAAATTAGAAAGCTAAATAGAAGTTTAGCAATCGATTTCTTTTTACTTCACAAATGAGTTTTAAACCAAGTTTGCATAATTACATTATATAGAGATTTATTCTGACTTTCTGGCACAGATAACTTATTTTTTAAGGATATGCATTGGTTTCAATAAATGTTTTTCATGTTGCAATACACTGATAATTAGAATTTTTTATTTTACTTGTTCATTTTTGACACATAAATGGATTGCCCCTTTATTTTATCTTCAAATAACTGTGTTAAAGGTGTGGATCACTTAAAAACATTTTGAATGATTAATTCGGTTTATAATTGATCACTGAGTTTTTCATGAAAGCAGAACAAGAAAATTGTCTCCTACACCTATCTCCTGCTTTAGCTTATGATAGAAAATAGACGGTGAAACTCTAGGATTTGAAAATCCTGACAGATCCACGTCAAACTGTTACTTAACAACTATGGACTCACCCTTCTTGATTCAATGGGGAAGGCTGTTGTTTCTTTAGCATCCAGTAAACAGCAGAGGAAGTCTCAGCTAGCAGAAGCTAACTGTTAGCATTAGCAACTCCACCACACAGCAGAACTCTTCCAGGCTTGTGTTATTTGTGGCGATAAAACATCACTGCTGCTAAACAGTCACTGGAAGAGATGTCCAAATATCAGGAAATAAGTCTCCAAAACGTGCCGTCTGAAGCTCAGCTGTGATGTGAGCAACTTTTAGGTCTGAGAAATGGTGTACCGGTATTAATTTCCCCCCGAGAACGATTTACAAGGCGACCACTGCAAATGCATTGATTAAACGAATGATTCACTTCTTTAAATACTCCTGTTGTGCACATATTCCTACAAAAAGACAGAGATGATTTATCTTGTAAATAATGTCATGACTGAGTGGTATGTGGTCACTCTGAAAGGATCAGCCATACTCTTTGAGCTTTCCGACTATATGTGCAGACGTATGTGGTCTAATTGGATGAAAAATGTCATTGGGATGATTAATGACCTCCTTTCACGAAAAAAAAATCCCTATACATTTTGCTTATTCTTAAAATATTTAATTGCATAAATAAAAATTTCCCTCTGGGATTTTGAAAGCTTTGCAGCTGAGTACAGAAAAAGAAAACGTACCTGTTCTCGACATTAAGGATCGTGTTCAAACAAGAGTATTTACTCTGGGAGAAGGTGCTATAAATGAACAGAGAGGAAGTGGAGCACAAAGACTATTCAGACTAGAGGAAACGGAGACCTGAGTGTGAAAAATGGATTTTTAGGAGCTTCTGTTGCTGAAGAATTAGAAACTAACTAATTGGTTTAAACCTGCAGGTGTCTTCCAAACATAACTGACAGCACTGCAGGCAAAGTTCTCTTTTTTATGTATTTTTTAGACAGTTCAGATGTCCTGCAGCTATAGGACTAATTCTTATCCCTCTGGTAAATATGGCTGTGGCTCTTTTTTTGCCTTTCCCTACAGCTCTGCTCAAAATTAAGTTGTTTTGTTCCATATAGGAGACTTTAAAAAAGGAAAGAGGGGAGGGGAAGGGACAGAACTCCCGGAGAGGGACAGGCCTTAAGATGGAGGTCTTCCTCTCAGGACGTGACTGGCTGTTGGCTGGAGGATGCTCAGGAAGGCCTTGGCAGACCAACAAAGACAGCCCTTCAGCTGCAGGGTGTAGTTTTTCAGGCCCCAGCATCCCCTTTGGCAGCAGCACAGAGAGCGCTGGCGTGCACAGGCCCCCGGCCCGAGAGACAGGGAAGTAAGGCCCGCTCTTTTATTTACTCAGGCTGCTGCTGAGGCCTGGGCATTTCTTGTCTGGGTGAAGAAGGGGAGAAAAACAAGTCTCTCTCTTTCTTTTTCCTCTTGTGGTCTCCTGAGGAAGGCTGTTCTTTCATCTGCAGTTGTTCACACACTTGTTTCGGCTATCGCTCCTCTCTGTGCACACATGTGCATGCCATGTGTGCACGTTTTAGTATTTTTACTTGTATATGAACATTGTGTGCACTGACACGCTTTTGTGTGTATTAAAAAGTCAGTGTATGTCTACATGTCTTTTGGGAGGGAGTGTCAAATTTAATTTAATTTTAAGTACATTTCAAGTTCAAGTTCGAATTAGTAAACGTCATAAAATTATAACACGTCAAAGCTCTTTTTTATGTGAAAAAGGATTTTCCTCCCAGAAGGTAAAAGTAAATTCTCAAATATTTTATATAATTGTTTTCATTATAATTATTTATCATACAACACTGCAAAAGATTAAAAGCAAATGTTTTTTTCACCCCGTATGAGCATGCAATGCAACTCAAGCCCAGATCATAACCAGACCACCCCTGTGCTAATCAGCTTTACTGATTAGCTTTTTACAGAATTTTCACCAAATTTTGCCTTCTAATTTAATTTTTAAGGCCAGATGGGAAAGATTATACTATGCTTTTTCATTGTGAATTACTAATAAAACAACAAAGAGTAAATTTTCATTCTGGGAAAATGTTCCAATATTTTCCAGTTTGCATATCGGCTGTTTAAAGGATTTGGGGATACAATAAAACATTTTAGGTTAGGTTTTGAATTTAATTATAAACTAGTTCATTGCTGTGCAGATTCACATTTACCCAATCTTTTTAAAATTCTGTTTCCGTGCATTTAAATGAAACAGTTCACAGTTGAAGAACACTATTCAAGCCTTTAAAAAAGTATTTTTTCCACAGAAAACAGTGGCAGCCGGTGGCTATTGTAACTGAGGAGGCGGACCGAACAACATTCATGAGTGTGAAGGTGCATGTGCACACATCCACACAGTTGTTTTAAGTCCATTACTTAACAGGATTCTAATGATTAAAGGCTCAAAGTGATTGATACAGAACCAAGCTCGCGACAGTTCTTTCCTAATTCTGACCTTCAGACAATACATCAGCTGAGCTCAACTTCTTAGATTAAAATTGTCAATAAAAGCTGAAATTAGGCAACAAATCCAAACAAAGGTCTTGCCTCTGGGTGAGAAAATGAAGGGTTTCAGTTTTCATGCAAAGAAGAAGAATAAGAAAAACTCTTGTTTTTTTTTATCATAGTTTAACTCCTCATCTATCTGCTAATTTAAGTAAGGCTTGCACCTCCCACATGTCCCCCGTAGATACAACTGTATTTATGTGTGTTATTAGAGTAAGGCAGTAACTAAATGATAAACATCATGCAAAGAAAGATCAAAAATGAAATGAGGTTGTCTTGACAGCTGAGTAATATCTCTAGGCAAGCTCTTCCTCATTTAAGACAGCAGAGTTTCATTTAGCCTTGTATTCAGCCCCATTTATTTGTTTGTTTTATACTATTGTCTCCAAGCCAATATTTTTGACTGTAAGGCATGAGCTGAGGTCATTCTTCTTGCACTGTCTTCTTCTCGTGTACCCTGGGAGGCACTACGAGATCGGGCAGATCCGCCTCCTCTGTGGAGGAGGGCACTGCACCGAGTCACTCATCCTCCCTCAAACCACAGAGAAAGAAAACATTGAGACATGGATGAGAGAAAAAAGCAAGTAAATAAGGCAAGGTTTGCTCCTTGAGTGAAATGTGCGTGCAGAGTGGGCACTTTGCCAGGGGTGGGAGGTTTCCGGGAGGGCCACGGTGTGGAGGTGGGCTCTCAATGTGCCGCTTTCAGCAGTTTGGAGGGGCAAGGGAATGGCCTCCGACCCCATCTGTTTCCTGAAGATAGGCCCTGATGGGTGTAAGTGCTCTGAGAGGGCATGATATCCTGACAAAGGGCAGAGCTCACAGCAAGAGAGAGAGAGAGAGAGAGAGAGAGAGAGAGGGGGAGAGACTGGATCCTGGAAAGAGCTCTTGTTTTCCTCTGTCCCTCACAAATCTTTGCCGTTTCCTCTTGTTTTTCCCATTCCAAGTTATGGCCATTAGACAGTTTCTTTTTTCCTGAAGGGGCTGGGATTACGTTGTTATTTGGGTAAGGAAGTTTGCAGCCCTTAGAGCTCGACAGCGGGAAGAAGTGGTGTGTAACCCTTTGAACCTGTGGAAATTAGTGTTCTGTGTTTTCCATTCATATCAGCGCACAATGAACCATTGGATTGGAATGTTGGCAAGCTATTTACGTGGGTACACTTTAGAGTCATTGTGAAAGAGAACAGAGACTGTTGCATTAGCTGACTGGCTTAAGTCTCCACACCTGCTCGACCTTGAGTGAAATAGTTAGCAACCCGGTTTCCCTTTCCCTGTCCTCTCCATGAAGCTCATATCCTCACACCAGCCTCATGACATCCTCATCAATCCAGGATCAGCTGTGATACAACACAGCACCCATGCATTCAGACAAATATGGTAATATGGCATGTGTTATAATCTGATATCTGCTGACTGATGTTCTGAAATGCACATATTTCATGAAACTCATCCCTTTTGCAGCAGCAAATTCCCAAAATGGGAGTCTAAGTTGCACATTTAATCTTCTCTTTGCTGTTTTTTTTTTCAAGTCTTTTGAAGGGGTTCTTTTTTTTTAAAAAAATATTCCAGTGAGTGTTCAGGAATAATAGAAATGTTCTAATTTACCTCATGCAGGGCTTACATCCTAAAGTACACCCATTGTCTTGTGTTGGCTTCAAATGCCAGAGAGAGTGTGTTTTGAGTCACAGTGGGCTAAGCCATTACATGGCCACATACAAGGTTAATTGTGGTAAAAGTATTTCCACTTATTCTCTCCTCTAATTATACTTTAAATTGCATATTTAAATTTAACTTTTCAGATAACACCTAAGGAGAGCTATTGTTTCCGCTGAAGCTGCTGAAGAAAAAAAACATGATGTACACTGAAAAGAATTAAAAATTCATACTCCACAAGTTTATAATAACCATGACAAATAACACCACGGTGGTCCACCTTTGCTATTCAAATGAGTGAGTCTAATATATTTGCACAACAGTTATAAAAGATTAACTCTCTAATTTACTCTTTATTTTTCCTTCATTTTTTTCTGATTTGCACTGCTTTCTGTCATCTTCTCCAGACGGCGCTGATCTTGAGGATGACCCTTCATGTTCTTGGCCTGCATCATCTCCCTCCAGTAAAGACCAGACTTCTCCAGGACATTGTGAAGACTATGAATTTGGAGAGGAGGAAGGAGGCCCTGGCCTGCCATATCCATGCCAGTTCTGTGACAAGTCCTTCAGTCGCTTAAGCTTTCTCAAGCGTCACGAACAAAGTCACGGAGATAAACTCCCTTTCAGCTGCACCTTTTGCAGCCGCCTGTTTAAGCACAAGCGCAGCCGAGATCGGCACGTGAAGCTACATACCGGTGATAAGAAGTACCACTGTGGTGAGTGTGACTCTGCTTTCTCTCGCAGTGATCACCTCAAAATCCACATGAAAACCCACGCCTCCAACAAACCCCACAAGTGCCCCGTGTGCCGTCGAGGCTTCCTTTCCTCTAGCTCGCTCCACGGCCACATGCAAGTACATGAGCGGGGAAAAGACGGCAGCAGCTCAAGCTTTTCTAGAGCCGAGGAATGGAAGCTGAAAGAAACCCGGAAATGCAGTCGATGCGAGGAAGGCTTTGACGTTCCGGAGGAGCTCCAGCGGCACATCGCAGAGTGTCACCCTGAGTGCTCTCCGTTAGAAGATGGAGGTCTGGGTGCCACCTTGCAGTGCATCTACTGCCATGAGCCCTTTAGTGATGAGGGCACTCTGCTGACCCACATTGACCAGGCCCATAGTAGAGATAGAAAGGGTCACACCTGTGCTATCTGCTCTGAGCACTTTCTCTCTGTTGAGGACCTCTATGCTCACATGGATATCCACCAGCTCCCTGAATCCAGTAACCATAGTAACAGCCCCTCAATGCTTACTGTGGGCTACACCTCAGTCTCTAGCACTACTCCTGACTCCAATCTTTCTGTTGACAGTTCCACGATGGTGGAAACGGCACCACCTGTGGCCAAGACAAGAGGGAGGAGAAAGAGAGCTGCTCAAAACGCATCTGACTTAGGAGGGCGTTCCTCCAAACAACCCAAAGTCTCTTACAGTTGCATGTACTGTAACAAACAAGTATTCTCCAGCTTGGCTGTACTTCATATCCACCTAAGAACCATGCATCTGGACAAGCCAGAGCAAGCTCACACTTGCCAGTTTTGCTTAGAGGTTTTGCCCTCTTTACTAAATTTAAACGAACATCTTAAACAGGTCCACAATGCAGAAGACCATGCAGCCCTATTAGCCAGCCTGCCGGATGCCCTCCTTCAGTGTAATTTTTGCCCTGAGGTATTAAGTGACTTAAATGCCCTCCAGGAACACATCCGCTGTTCCCATGGATTCCCCAGTCCTGTTGCAAAGGAGAGCAATGCCTTCTTCTGCCCCCAGTGCTTTATGGGGTTCCTGACAGAGGCTACCTTGGAGGAGCATGTTCGTCAAACCCACTGTGATGGAGGAAGCTTGCGCTTTGACTCCCCTTTGGCTGTGACTCCCAAGGAACCCATAGTAGAGGTTTACTCTTGTTCATATTGCACCAACTCACCCATCTTCAACAGTGTTTTGAAGCTAAACAAGCACATTAAGGAGAATCACAAGAACATTCCTCTGGCTCTGAACTACATCAACAATGGAAAGAAATCCCTGCGCACTCTGAGCCCTTCTTCACCAATATCTGTGGAACAAACCTCCATACTGAAACAAGGCAACTCAGCCTCACGAGCCACCAGTGAGTTCATATGCAATCAGTGTGGAGCCAAGTACACAAGCTTAGACCTTTTCCAGACTCATCTCAAAACTCATCTGGACGGTCTACAACCCCAGCTCACATGTCCGCAGTGCAACAAAGAGTTTCCCAACCAAGAGTCTCTACTGAAGCATGTGACAATTCACTTCACCATTACCTCCACGTATTACATATGTGAGAGCTGTGACAAGCAGTTCACTTCGGTGGATGATCTGCAGAAGCACCTTCTTGACATGCATACTTTTGTGTTCTTTCGCTGCACACTTTGCCAGGAGGTGTTTGACTCTAAAGTATCTACCCAACTCCACCTGGCTGTGAAGCACAGCAATGAGAAAAAGGTGTATCGTTGCACATCTTGCAACTGGGACTTCAGACATGAGACTGATCTACAGCTTCATGTCAAACACAGCCATCTGGAGAATCAAGGCCGTGCCCACCGCTGCATTTTTTGCGGGGAGTCCTTTGGCACAGAGGTGGAGCTGCAGTGCCACATCACTACTCACAGCAAGAAATACAACTGTCGCTTCTGCAGTAAGGCCTTCCATGCTATTGTTCTCCTGGAGAAGCATTTAAGGGAGAAACATTGTGTGTTTGAGGGAAAGGCCCAAAACTGTGGCACTAATGGATCTACTTTAAGTGGTGGAGAAGGCCAACCCAAAGAGGACACTGAAATACAAAATATTTTGACTAACAGTCATGGTCCAGGAGCAGGAGGAGCATCTGCTGTAGAAACCCAGAACAGTCATGATGGAAGTGAGGAAGAAGTAGACACTGCAGAGCCCATGTATGGATGTGAAATATGTGGGGCATCTTACACTATGGAGTCACTCCTAACTAACCACCAGTTAAGAGATCACAACATCCGCCCTGGTGAAAGTGCAATGATCAAAAGGAAAGCTGAAATGATCAAGGGCAACCACAAGTGCAATGTCTGTTCCCGTACCTTCTTCTCTGAGGCTGGGCTGAGAGAACATATGCAGACCCACCTTGGGCCTGTTAAACACTACATGTGCCCCATCTGCGGGGAACGCTTCCCATCTTTGCTCACCTTGACAGAGCATAAGGTCACCCATAGCAAGAGTCTGGACACAGGCAGCTGCCGTATCTGTAAGATGCCACTGCAGAGTGAAGAGGACTTCCTGGAGCACTGCCAGATGCACCCTGACCTGAGGAACTCTCTGACAGGTTTCCGGTGTGTGGTGTGCATGCAGACAGTGACCTCCACATTGGAGCTCAAGATCCACGGTACTTTCCACATGCAGAAGACAGGAACCATGTCTTCTAGTCAGCCGTTGGCCCGCAACAATGTCATTTCTCAAAACCAGCAATCGCATCATGTCCAAAAATTTTTCAAGTGTGCCTCATGCTTAAAAGATTTTCGGTCCAAACAAGACTTTGTTAAGATGGATATCAATGGACTACCCTACGGTCTGTGTGCGTCTTGCGTGACTGCCGCTGGCTCTAAGAGCTCAAGCCCGACAGTTAATGGAGGGAGGCAGCAACATCAGGGTGGAGCCACCACTCCAGCATCAAGTGCTGTTGCATGGGTACAAGGAGAGAGTCTCAGCCCTGGAGATGGAAAAGGCAAAGGTGTCTCTTCATCATCCTCTTCTTCTTCAACCTCTTCATCATCAGCTGTCAAGACACGCTGTTCCAGTTGCAATGTGAAGTTTGAGTCTGAGGCAGAGTTGCAAAACCATGTCCAGACGGTGCATCGGGAACAAGCCGGGGAGAGCAACAGTGGGCAGCTCAAGACTCCTCAGGTGTCTCCAATGCCTAGAGCAAGTCCCTCACAAACTGAAGAGGTATGGGTTCTCATTTTTGTGTTGAAAAAAGTCTATAGGGAGCTTAAGTCACTCCCATCTACTTCCGGACCATGAGTACCTGGAAGAAGGAAAAAATCAGTGCAAGTCAACGGGGCTAAAATGCTCTTTTCTAATTCCGCTTGTTTTGTGCCATGGATTTTACATATGATGTTCACGAATTTAAAAGATGCATTTTGATAACAAGAACAAGCTTATTTTCAAATGGGGGAAACACTATTTTAGGTTTTGTGTAAAAATAAGTCTAGGACTACAAATGCGCTTCACAAAAGTGACGTCACACACGAGAAAACAGAGGGAAAATGGCTGTAAGTTCAGCAAACTTCAAATCCTTCCCACAGGAGGAAAAACCACCATAAATCTGGCCATGTGGTAATTAGCAGCTATGCTAGGGGAGAGGAGATTCTGTGGTGACGTTACATATGCGACGTGTCGATTTCTAGTTTGTAGTCATGCAAATTACAAACTTTTACAAGCTGATAAATCTCAATGTGTGGGACTGGCACGGTCAAAACCTCCATCATTAGTTTTCATTTAAATTGTGCTATCCAGGGCGTAAGGCAAAGCGGAATAAAAATTTGCTCTTTTAGCTCCGCTGACTTGCATTCATTTTTTCGTTCTTCCGGGGATCCATGAGCCGACCAGAAAGGGGGAGACTTAGGCTCCCTATACTGATAAGGTTAATGATCAAATGAAAAACAGACATTAAGCTGTGTCACTGTAATAAACTGGTAGAATACTTTTAGATTGTCTAATCCCAATCTCATTTTTATAGAAGAAGACTTACCAGTGCATCAAGTGCCAGATGGTGTTCTACAGCGAATGGGACATCCAAGTACATGTGGCTAACCACATGCTAGGTAAGAGGCTTTTTTATAAGTATTATTATTTATTATGGTTTCTGTCTCGTTTCTGCATGAAACGTAGGGCTTCTAAAATGCCAGTTTTAGTAAATTTACCATAAAATAAATGAATTTGGCCTTTTGATCATCAAATTAAATGTTGGGTTGATTACTTTTGTGCATCTGTCATCAATACAGTGTACATTTTATTGAAGAGAATATTATTCCAATTTCATAACGGTAATTTGATCATATTAAATCTATCTGAGACCGTTGTTTGCCCTTTTTTTAAAGGCTGACTCACGTATAAAAGATTGATGTGATAATATATTGAAATATTTGACCCTGTCTCACTCAGGCTCACAAGTATCTGGATCACATCACCAAATAGGTGGAATTATTTTAATACTTTTAAGAATCAAATGCATCCTCAGTGTTGTGCTTTCACAATCATGCGAGTTTCTTTTCCTTTTCCCCATGCATGTGAATGGTAACAGAGTGTTTGTGCATGCTTGTGTAGCATCACCTTTCAACTTCAAGTCATTTATAAATAAAGGTAGTTTGAAGTAGTGGGAAACTTGCAAACTATTGAAATGTCTCATTTCCAAACAAAATGTTTGAGATGTAGAGACGCTACTCATACTATCAAAATATTTCAAGAAATGTCCATTACGCTTATTTTTCTTTTAATTTGTTGGTTTGTTGCCCCTTTTCAAATAAGTCTTCCTCTCAGATCTGAATACATTTTATAGCAAATTTTCATGTTACATGCATTTATTGGTATCAGTTTAAAGGTGTGGTTGATTGAAAACATTTCAAAGATTCTTTCTGATTATAATTGGTCACTCTAAGGTTTTCATGCAGGCTGAACATGAAAACAGTCTCCTGCACCCATCTCCTCTATTAGCTTATAGAAAATAGATGGTGAAATGCTAGAATTTGAAAATCCTCACATATCTATGTCACACTGTAAATTTGCATTCATGGCCTCACGTGTCTTGGCTCGTGCCCGCCCACAGGAAGGCCTTTTTAAAGAAACGTTTGCAGCAGGTAGAGAGATCAGAGAGTGTCTAGGTGATGGTGACTTTGCAACATGGCTGAACGTGTTCTGTTAGCCAATCAGAAATGAGGTGTGTGCATATCATTAATAATAATGAATAAGCCTGTTGTTTTCAGCCCACATCTGCACCAGCAGCCTTCTGCATCTCAGAACAGGAGCATCGTAGCTTTTTTATTTACACTAGAGAACACTGCAAATGTATTGAATAAACGAGTAAACCACACCTTTAACAAAAAAATCTATATGGGAATGTATATCACAAAAGTGTGTCTATTTTGCACAAGATTCTTAAACTGAGAGTCTTGACTTGAAACCAGCATCCACATTTTCAAAATGTCTTCACTTTTGTTTGCCATTTGTATGCAGGCAGAATAATTGATAGAGAGGAGACAATTGGAAAACAGGTTTTCTTGCCTGCAGTAAGTAGGTGTCTGAATTCCAGTCTCACGTTCCTTTATTCATTCATTTATTCAGCTCGTTTGGCGGCTCTTTCATTACACTGCATTATCTGTTGTCTTCAGTGGGGGAGAGACTCATTGATCTGGAACCAAACCGCCTCTCTGTTTGGGACACGCTTCCAGGCACAGGTGAATTTAAACACGGTGGGCAATTCTATCAGGACTGGTAGGCAATTCTATCAGGGGCCCACTGTTTGTGCATAAACAATCAGAAGCATGTGATTTGTGATTTTGATTCTGCGGTGTATTTGCGAAAGAGAGAGACGAGCCCAGAGTGTGTAGGTGTGTGTTTTGTATTCATCTTTGCGATCTGCTCACCCACTAGTCTACTGGGGGAGCCTAATACAGTACCATGCCAGCATTAGTCCTTTCTCTCGCAAAGGCAGGCACGGAGCACACTGGGAGGGTAGAAAACAAACCCCCCTACTGGTTATTTTATGTCTTTCAGCCACACAAGCACACAGTTCCCTCATAATAGTGGAATCCAGACAGCTTAAGATAACAGGAGGATAGGTGACTGGGTTATTGTCTGATGTCTTACTTCTATGATATGCCACTGCTTAGTATTCAACATGATAACAGGTTTCATCTGCCTTCTCAAAAGGTTTTCGTTAGATGCATTTGCTTTTGTGATTACAAAAAAATATGAGAAATACAAAACTCATTATAATATGAAACAAAAGGAAAAGCAAACCGAACAAAGAAAACGTGTTTGACTGACATTCCGTGTTAAGAAGGGTTAATAATTTTGACACCATGGATTGATATGGATGCTGAAGATTTTCTCTCTATAACATAGATCCTTTTGTTTTAAGTCTACCAATCCTCCAACAACTGCACAACTAATTTGGTCCAAAAAACTAAAAATAAATAAATAAATAAAAACTAATTTGGAAAAGCTCTAAATACCTTCTCCATTGAAAAAAGGGACACTTTCTCCTTTTAATGACCATCTGCACAGGAGAGGGGAAACAGGGGGCTGGGGTCATCTCCGCTCAGCTGTCAGCGTTATTAGCGTAGGTAATGGAGCAGACGCTGGATTCATAGGGGTGTTGTTTTCATCCATGCCCCGCTCTATGGTGTCAGTTCACACTGATAACTCTATATATAGTGATGTGTCGTGGCGTAACTGTAGTGCTAAGTGTATGGAACAGAACCCGAGCCTGTTTCACCCAGATGAGTTCTTATTAGCCGCCTTTGTAATACAATAGTCTCTCCAAACGAAACATAACGAGCTCCCACCTTCACCTCCTCCCATCCGGCCAAAGTGGTCGTAGCTGCCTCTTCTGTGAGAACGCCAGCACATTTTGATGCATGAATATTACCATCGGACGATGGCGGCCCTGGTTCAGACATAAAGGGCAGCTCCGGAGCTCAGCTACTCCACATTTACAGTGATAATGGAGGTAAATGAAAGGGAAGGAAGAGGCCACGGTTGCAGAGGGGTGTGCTGCAGACCGGCCCCAGCCAAGCCCGTGAACGGCCCCACGTGTCTTAAGATGGAAGCTGCAGCCTACTAAGGCCCAGATGGATCAGTACACATTTGCTGTACAGCTGGTCGCTCTGTTTGGGGACCTGGTGTGATACTCCTATGGAGAAAAAAAATGATTTCGCCACCATCCAAGGAGCAATTTAATAGCAGGCCAGAAGACAGCTGGCCACTCTTTAGTTTAGAGTTTTTTTGGCATGGCACACTTACAGAATTGAGGGTATCCGATTTTTCTCCAGAGACACACAGATTTTTACAGCTTTCAGCTGTTGCAGTCACTACCAATCCATTCATTTTCTATTATAACTCAATATATATATATATATAACTACTCAAAAATAATTTTTGTGCTTACCCAGATTCACCTTTTTTATTTATTTTTTTTTAAGAGGACCTTTGAAGGTCTTTCACTGGCACAAAAGCCTGTTTGGTTTTATCAGCATGCCGTCATGACACCCCATTGCTTCACTTTGACCCTTGTGTAAACTATGACATTTGGAGCCTCATGGGGGGCACGTTTGGTCCATTTATCGCTCTGTTTCAAATGTCCCTCTGTGGATTTTCTGAGCTCTGACATGTTTGGAAGCATGGTTTCTGTCTTATGGGAATTGGAAGATGAGAGGTTATTTTCTGCCATATGTTTTTTTTTGTTGTTGTTGTTGTTGTTATTTCTGCTTTCAGCTTATGCCTACTACTCTCATGCCCACTTTAAACAGCAACTGCCAAGGTGGCTGTGCTGAGGAGGACGATTGTAAACAAACAAACCAAAACTGCATCCCAGAAAAGTGGTTGCAGGGTCACCTCCACATATTTCTGTTGGGTCTGTGACAATGCCGAGCCTGAAGCCAAGTCAGGGAGGAGCCTTCTCTCGCAGAAAGGAGCTGGTGGCCTGGTCGGCTCCGGCGAGAGGGGCAGGGGGGCGGCACCGGAGGGGTGGAAAGGTTCGGGGGCGGAGAGGGAAAGGCACATTTGCTGTACAGCTGGCCGCTCTGTGTGAAGCAGCACTGTGGGCTGTTACAGAGCTGGAGAGGAGAGCAAGTGAGAGGCCTTTAGCTCTCCTCTAGCTTCTCCTCCTCCTCCTCTCTGTTCTCCAGGTCCACTGTCTCTCCATGACTGTGCCTCAGTTTCTAGCTCTAACATTTTCATATTAACTGAGCTCCAACGTGGCAAAACATACTGTGTTGGCTGTTAGCGCAGAAGCCAACAGGAGGCACACTGTAACAGTGTTTGAAGCTGAAAGCCGTGTTTTGTCTTTTGCAAAGAGTTTCAAATTATCCTTGACGCATATCCTCTTGTCTCAGGCCCCGAGAGCAATTTGGCCGTTGTATGTTGATTATATGGTCTCCATCAGTGTCTGTTTCCTGGTGGAAACTCATTTATTACCCCAATAAATGTGTTTTTGCCCCACTCCTGGTTAAAAAGCACACGGATTGTAACACTTTGTTCCTTTTCTTCTGATCATCTTTGATTATGTGTCCGATTTTGTTCCAGGAGTCTCTAAAACACACTCATAAAGCATAAACACATGTAATCTGTTAACAGACATGACCGAACACTCCTCGTTTGACTCCTGTGGGGTTGGGATCAGAGTCAAACAGCACAGCAAAGGAACGGGATCAATCTTATGACATAAATAAGAGAACAGGTTTGGACCAGCTAGTGGAAACAAAGGAATCCATCCGTGCCATACACTGAGTGTGATACCTGCCCGCTTTTATTAATTGGCGATTAATAACGCCTCTCTGTTCGTTAGCATAGTCACCTCCCGTGCAGCCAAGTGTGTTGCTGCTAATATGCAATTATGTGCACCTTACTGCTTGTTACATTATACCTCTCCCTGACTAATGTGGGGTCCATGAGGAGAATAGAAATCAGCATGAGCTGCAAAAAAACAGCCATCAATAAGATTCTCACATTCTTTGTCTTACTTGCCTGTCTGGGCGGAGAACAGAGAAGAGGGGGAAAAAAAGAAGTTTCTTACAAATTCCTCGATGTAACCAGGAGACTGCATTAAAAGTTTTACAGCTTTTGCAGAGACTGTTTTGCTCTTCCCGGTGTTTTTGTTGTAAAGCAGAGGTAATTGACATCACCATGGGGATGCTCTGTTGCTAGGCCAGACAAGCTCAGTCTGATGTGGTCCTTATCTATTGATTTTCCTGACATTTCCCCACACCTCACAGACTAGGCCAACATGTGAGAAAATATCTGATGCTCTCAGTTCATACAGCCTGCTTGTACAAACTCAGAGCGAGCTCTTGCTGCCCCTTGCTGCATTGCAATTGGTAAGTTGATGTCGCAGTGGCGACTTGGGGCAAATTCCTTTTATTGATTGGTCGAAACCAGTTTATTTGTTGTGTAATCTCTACACGAGCGCAATTATTATC